CTCCTTCTTTGGAGGTCTTTAAGCAGAGGCTTGACAACCATATGTCAGGAGTGCTCTGATGGTGTTTCCTGCTTGGCAAGGGGTTGGAATCGATGGCCCTTGTGGTCTATTCCAACGCTATGATTCTATGATTCTTTCACTCCCCTTAAGGAGTCTCAAAGTGGCTAACAATCTCCTATTCCCTTCCTCCCCCACAACAAACACTCTGTGAGGTGAGTGAGGCTGAGAGACTTCAGAGAAGTGTGACTAGCCCAAGGTCACCCAGCAGCTGCGTGTGGAAGAGCGGGGACGCGAACCCAGTTCACCAGATTATAAGTCTACCGCTCTTAACCACTACACCACACAGTTTCTCACACCACGCTGGCTCTAGAACAAATAGGGAACCCTAAGACTGCAATCCAAAGTACACTTATTTAGGATCCCACTATTACCTGCCCTGCCCTCTGTCCTACCAGCTTTGAAAGGTCCTCAACAGCCAACAGGGCTTGAAGGAGGAGATGAGCAGTTCACCCTTGAATGCGCTGATCTTGGGATAGCAATGATATAGTCTTGGTAGATATATCAGACAGGCAATTGTAGGTGGGATATAGAAGTATAGGTATTATGAGTATACAATTACTGCTGAAAGCCATGGGATTTGATATCCCCACACTCCACACCCAGAACAGAATGCAGAGCAGGTAACCAAGAATCCTGAGGAACTGTGATCTCATTAAAGGTGGCATTCTTCCAGCAGAAATATAAGGTATTACGGCTCTCCGCCTTGCTTCTCATATGGTTCTCAACTCTTCCCTCCCAGTTGCTGGTCATGTTATTGAGGACATTTTCCTTCGATTTGGCACCTGCATGCAGAAATTGGTCCCTGAAAATCTGCTAACCCAATTTTGAATCTGTTATGTATTCCCATCTCTGGCATTGCTATCCAGCCCTCCCTGCAGTTAACCATCTGGAAAAATGGGGTAGAAGTTTTGAAAATGTCCGTGTTCATCCACTGGCAAAGTTTGCCCTAGGCATGTGCACACAGAACCCCTTCTGGGCAAACAGCTGCCTGTATCTGAGCGGCCTTATGCAGACTAAGGAACTGGGAAATGGCCCAACCTGAAATTGAAGGACACTGATTTCAGAAGGAGAAGATAGTCATGGTCAGAGAGTTTCGATGTATGTCTCGGGAGAAGGCATAGCCTTTTCACAAGCCATAGTCAAATTGACAATTATATATGACAATCTTATTTTGAAGGTTTTGCCAACAAATAATGGGATTGAGGATTAAAAACTGATCCTGTGTTGACAGTTTAAAGTTGACTCTGAATTCTGTTTCCTAAACCTGCCCTATGGAAAGGTATTTTTGAAGGAAGGGGCACAGATGGTATACTTTAACAAATAGGAAAGTAAGTAAATTTCTCTGGATTCTGACTTTTTTCTTTATCTTCATTTGGTGTGGGAAATCTTTGGCCCTCCAGATGTTGCTGAACTACAACTCCCATAACCCCCAGCTTGCATGACAAATGGCTAGGGATGGTGGGAGATGTAGTTCAGTAGCATCTGGAGGGGCAAAGGTTCCCAACACCAGTTCTACTTGAATGCATTAACAAAAGTCAACGACTGAGCTGCCTTTCTCAACCTAGATACAAAACTGAGTGCCAGTTACAAATTGTAGAAAGAACACATGAGGCAAGAACTGTGGCTGCACAAAGAACTTTTTGAAATCAGTCATGATTGCCTCTTCATATAAAACATAATCTACAAAGCCACAACACTGTGGAAAGCTAGCTATGGAAGGAGTTCTAGGTCAAAACACAGAGAATGCGTGTAGAAATGTCACTTAAGCAGGAAGTAAGAACTCTACTCAGGTGTTAAGCCAAACATGTGACAATATAAAGAGTGCTAGTCAACTAAGTTTTACACATACTAGATATATTGAAATCAATACCTCTAAGTTCATATTCAGTCATTTCAGTGAGTAAAACTTAGTTGACTACTACCCCAGTAGTATTGTCTGTGCTAACCATGCCTCTAATGTCCCTGTCTCCACTGGCTCTGTCCTGACCTTCTTGCACTGAGCCAAAAGGTTTGAAAATGTGTTCAGCAAAACTTGCAGAGAAGCCTCCAAACAATTGTGGCGAGGCTTTTAAGGTCATTTTAAGCTGAACGTGCTTAGGGGCCTCCTTCCTACCAGTGCAGAAAGTGAAGGGTGAAACAGGCCGGTCACACAAGTGGGGATGTTGAGGGCAGAGGACTCCTAACAACCTTCTGAGCATTTACATAAGTTATGGAATGATTAGGATCAGATCACAAGACTGCCCTATATATAAGCATGTTTGCAAGCTGTTGTAGCACCACTTTTATTTAATCTGGACCATGAGCAGCTTTTCTGACTATACTTCTGGTAGGTACCGTTTATTACTTTGTAGCTGTCTTATTGAAAGTGCAGCCCATTCCATGTTGCATCAGAAGCAACAGAGCATCCTATTAAAGAGGGGTGGGTATAGAATGTCACAATTCTTCTTTTAGTTGATATAGGGTAGTGGGATCCAGTTGGCATCACCAATGTTGTGTCCGTGGGTGAACTTGTACCTGTGATGATGTTCCCTGGCATCCACATCTATGGGGTAGGAGTGGGTAAGTGTGGTGGCCTGCTGAGGGTTGCATAGACATGCCACTGGAATCAACCTGGTTGTCCTGCCCTGCCCCATCTAGTGATGTGCTGCTACTGCTAGGTCTGAGCCCCCCCCCCCGTGTGTCTGTGGATCCTGTGACTGACCATTCCCATTTTGGAAGCCATTTTGTGACAGCCATTTTGTGACAGAGACCATGGTATGCGCTCAAGTATCTGCTGGCTGTTTTCTGTAATAATAAACATTGCCATTGGCTCTCAAGTTTCCAAATGTGCCCTTGGCCACCCCAAAGACTGGACCTCAGGGATACACAGTTGTATACACAGCCTTGGTGAAAAGAACAGCCATATTTATATGAACCGTTTACAGGGCTAGCACTTTGGGCTGCTTGTCACTACAGCTAATTGGCGCCAATCAAGTCATCATAGTTATTTCCATGGTAGGATGCCAGGAAATGCAAACGAGCACATAAGCGACGTCAAGAGAATCCACAAGTGAAGCATATGATTGTGAATATGTCAACTTCGGACAGATGGTGATGGTTTGGCCATAGTTCTGTCATCTCTCCTGCATGCCCAATGGTTATTAATCCTTGTCAAGATCAGAAATGGTTCAAAATAGCCATACTTCGTGGAAGATGTTTCCCTAAAACAGCAGTTATAAGGGAATTGTATGTATCATAAGACTTTCTAGTCATTATACAATTGAAAGGTTTTAATATCATCAGTTGCATAACACCAATAGCAATTACCTTCTGTAAATCCAGAATAATTTCCCCCTCTGGAAACAGAAATGATTTATTCTGTAAGTAGTCAGACAGCCATCAAAATCAAACAGCCATGGATGCTATTTCCATCCCTCCAAAGATACTTGGCTCTAACACACACTTCCTCTGTCTGGGGAAAAGCCATGCTTGAAGTCTTATGAAAGGGCTGGTTTTGGATGACTTTTGAACCCTGATTCACTTTCATTAAAAGTTGGAGATCTTACGTATTCATGGAATTAAGTAAGCTCCATTTGATTTCAATGGAACCAGCTCACTTGTAAATGTGATTAGGGTTGTGGTCCTAGAGTAAATGACGGCCCTGATGCAGATTAAGAATGTAGGAATATTTTCAATTAGATCAGGTAGTGGCATTCAAAGCCCCATTTATGCATGATATAATTACTTTGTAGATCAACCACACATTTAATAAGATCATATGAAGCTGGTAATCATGGCTCAACCATGAACATGTGCAATTCAATAGTGTATAATATGCCACATTCAAGTGAATTCCTGGGCAGGAATTTGATATGAAATTGGAACCTGGGTGGAACTGCATAAGTTGAACAGGAATTGCTTTGCTACTTTCGGCAACCTGTACCATGAAAACACTTTCCCCTTTCTGAACCGTTTTTTAAAGTGTCATTACACTAACCATGCATTCGGTGAAAATGGTTTGAGTCTAGAAGAAACTTGCCAACTTCCAAAACATAGTATTGTACACAGGACAGTCGAGAATCAATCTAGTTTTCTACATTTCAAGTACCAGATTGTACCAGGCCATTTGTAGTGTGGCACACTAAAGTGAAAAATAAGATCAAATAATCAAGGTTCATATATCCTGAACATTTTCATAAATATTTGGTGGATTCACCTTAGAGTATAACAGGTAATATGTCAGAGAATCTGGCTGACAAAAAACATTCTGCTTCTCTGGCATTTCCCATTTCCCACTTCCCTGTCTAAGCTGGTAGGGCAGCTGAGCTCTGGTAAACTTTAGACATGGCTGGGAAGTTGGGATTGCATCCAGCTCCCAATGCCATCCAATTCCCAGCTGAGAGAATTGTGTCTTGCTAGAGCTATCACAGGTGGACTCTGGCTCAGACTGAGGTTTGCTTGGCATGATTATAGATAAGCCAGCAAATTCTGCAAAACTTGGACTCTTAAAATGTATTTTGGATGTTCTGCCAGTCCATTTCAGGCCAGATCCCAGTGTCTTGGATTTGAGCTCAGTTTGAAATGAATATAGACCAGGACCTTGGATGGTCTAAAATCCTGGTAGCATCACCTAAAGCCAATGCTTGGAGTCTGAAACAATTTTCCAAAAGCTAAACAAACATGTGGGAAATCAGTTAACTCTGTGTCATTTCTGGTAAGATTTAGAGGGATTTACTTTTACCATACATAGATGGCTACTGTATTGGCAGAGGTGATAACAGGGCTTTTTTTTCTTCCACTCATCTGGTCTTAGTACAAAGGAATACGGCCAGGGAAGAAAAATGGAGAAAGCATCCATATTATATATGGCAATATTTCTTAATTTTTAACATCAATCTGCAAAACATTTGTAGTGGTCCAAAGATGATGAATGAAAACAAACATAACTCTTAAATAAAAAATCCAGGTACCAAAGAGCAAAATTTAATGAAAGCCAAAACTGTTAAATATGGTTTCTTGTTGAGAAAAATGTCAATGTCTTTAAGGGTTCCCCCCTCCCCACCACATTATTCTATATTTAAGAAAAGTGTAGTAAAAATACATATTACAAGTTAACATTTCCCCTCTTCTTCTGAATCATTCTTCTTTTTCTGCTCCCACCCTTCCACTGATCAAAAACATTTCAAAGATGAGTCTCATGTCCTAGTGATACAGGCATTTGTCCTATCATAGAAGGCTTCTTCCCATAAACCCATCTAACTGGCTGGCTCAATTGTCAGATAGGTCTCTTTGATTCCTTTGCCACAAAGGCAACTGAGGTTTCTCTCTCTCCCTCTCTCTATATCTCTTTCAAAGTTTTATGGGCTATATTTTTTATTCCATACAGAAGAAAATCCTTGCACTCTGCTCCCATTGTATTTTACGGTGTAAGACAGTTGTGGGAGCTCTGGAAAACTCTTGTGTTTGAAAGAAAGATTGGGTCTCTTCTTGGACATCCAAAAGATCTCTTCATCAAAAACAGGCTTAGTTTTGTGAGCCGTGCACACCATAAAGACACACACAGAACTAAACTCAAAATGTAACCAAAGCAGACATAAAATTAAAAATAAGAATTAAGAATTGCACACGGAGAACAAGACCCTGAAGAGTTATTATCGGAGGCTGAGATCTGAGCCATGACAAACAGCTGGATGGAAGATGAAGACAAAAAGGCTTCCAGCAGCACGGAGAGAAAACAAAACAGGCACTAGGCATGCTGTGCCCTCTGAAGGGGATCTGCAGGTTCTGTGCTGCCAGTCTTATGAAGATGTCGTCTTAAGATGAGTGGAAGAAATTGATGGAACAACATAGTGCTGAATGGTACAATCAGTTCCTAGAAGCCAGTCTTTAATAGTTTTTGAAGCTTCATAAGCACAGAAAGTCATGTATGGTAGCTTATTTGTTTAGAGCCACTTGCCAGTCACACACACACATTTTTTAAAGCGACGTCATGATGGTCCCCACAACAAAGCCATTTCAGTCCGTAGCCTCTTATCGCATCCTTCTGCTTCCATTCTATGTTACAGTCTCCTATTTTACACTTTTATGTTACACACAGGTCTCAGATATTAGATATAACAAGTTGCTGTTATACTGATGGGTTTGCACTGGCACTTGGAGGAAGATTTAGCCCCTTGTAAAGTCTGGAATTAACATCCAGTCATGGGCAGATGCATTTGTGAGGACAGGAAATCGCCAAGGAAGGGTTGGGCCTCTTCCAGACCTACGATGGAGTAGGAGATACTTCCCTTGAATGGTTTTTCTTCAGGGCAACGTTTTCCACTCTGTTCGAGTATTTCACTGTTCACGGTGGTGATATCACACACATACGCACACGCACACACAAATGAAGCTTTTGTTTCAATGTAGATGTCAAGGAGCACATGACTGGGAGAAATACTGCTAGCAAGTCTGTTGTCTTGTGCTTTGGACAGCTCTCTGGATTTCAGTGTTTCATTGCGAGATTGGGTTTTATATCAGTAGCAAGTAGGGTACCAGCTGGTCAGTTCTGTGTGTTCCACTTCCCTTCACGATGATGGATGAGATGGAAACCATGTCTTTTGGCTTTTCTGCAAATGATACTGCTGGCCAAGATTTGATTCTTGAAACCGATTTTGCTTTTTAACTGTGGCCAGTTGTAAGCAATTATTATGGAAGGCTGGATCTAGGTGAATATTGGCATCTTGCTGTGGAAACTTTTAAAATTATTACTTTTTGGTCATCATAAATATCATGTAGCCCACTTATTCCATGGAATGTCCATCAGATCTGGCTTACAAAGACTAATAAACCAGATGTATACAAAACAGCCCTGATGTCTATCATTAACTGGTGGTGAATGGTTTTCTACTCAAAGATCACCACGGAAAGGAAACCTTACAGTAGTGTGGGAATGAGGAAATGGCTCTTGAAAAGGCAGTGAGGCAGTGAGGGATGATATGTGATCTATAGATATATTGATATTTTGCATTTTCTAGAGGAAACAGCCATGGTTATAGGCGGCTGCTGACCTGTCCTTGTGGTAGCCTGTCAAATTCCCATTTTGGGGACTGATATTTCCCACACTCACAACATTTAAACTCAGATAGCCACTTTCAAGCTCAGGAATACAGGTCACATTAACCTCTGTTTAACTAGGCTCTCCCAAATCCAGATACAACCACTGACATCCCATTCAGAAGTCTTCCTACTCCTTTCTGCATGTTAGGCTTCCGCTTCAACTGCCTCAGAAATCCTTCATTCAATAGTGGAATTCTCTGTCAACGGCCTAGTTAGCTTTGTTGCAACAACTTTAAAACACAGTAGAGTCCTGTTGTCTCAGAGGAATTGTTCCCACCCACCCCCTTTCACTGTTAGTAGCGCAGACATGTATGGTTTGCATCCCAAACTAAACCTGATTTTAAACTTTTGAGCAGGGCAGGGCTGAGATCACCCTGACATCACGGGAATTAGTAAGAAAAATATATATATTGCACACACTAAGAACTTATTAACAACCAAGTTAAAAACAAAATGGCGCTGTCTTCCTCAGTGTTCCTGTAACCGTGTATTCAGGGATGTCTCCAAATTTTGTTCAGTCCAGTTGCCCTCTCCTTATTGCAGTACAGGTCATGCTTTCTGCCTGTGGATTTACTGCAAAATAAACACATACACACACACACACGAACAAACAAACAAAAACAAAGGAAAATGAATCTGGTTTCCTCTAAAAGATCCAGTGCATTGTCCCTCTTCTTGAACGGTTTGGTTTTTAGCACTGGAGAGGCTGGGGTTAGGGAGACCCTGCTCTCACCCAGAATATCCATCAAGGGTAATTATAATCCCGTCGCTCCCAGGGGTGTCCCAGAGCTGTGACCCATGCATGGAATCTCCTGCATAGTTTGGGGGAAATCGTGGCTCACCACCCGTCCGTTTTCTCCACTGCTGGTTCCTGCCGCAGATGCTCTGGGAAGGGTTGATGTTCGTATGGCTTCATTGATTGATTGCTGTGGGATCAAACAAAAACCCTTTTTAAGAGAGACAAGGGGGGTCTCCCCCTGTCCTTAGCAATGGCTGGGCAATTGTAATAGACAACATTTTATTTTTTCAGTCTAGCCTAGTACTCTTGGATCCCTTCCCTGTCAATTCTGCTTAGAAATGAACAAGTTATTCAGGCATACATATTCAGAGCAAACACATTTTTAAAAAGTCATTAATATTTATTCTATCGGAGTTTATTTTCCCTCTTGCTCAAAACACCCACATGTGAAGAATGTATCTTAGGGTAGAAAGTTTGCCACTGCGGTTTTTTTTTTTTTAAAAAAACATCTTAGGTGGTTCAATGGAAACAGTTCAGTTATCCCATATCTGAAATATACTTAAGGCAAGGTTAGGGGAAATTGTGTTCTTCATAACACTAATATGGATATTTGGTGGACTGGACAAGACCAGCGGATGCTTAATCATTTCTCCCTTCTCCCATTTTTTCCCTTGCAAAGCCTCACTCTTCCCTACTAGTTTTCAGCATGTCACCCGCTTCCAGCTCCCAAACTGAAAGAAGTGCAACAAGGAAGTTGACTTTGGAAGGACATTTGGGTGGCTGGCAAGGTTAGCAACATGAACCCAATTTGTAAATATTGTGATAAGCGTTGACCATGATGTAGAGGTAAGCATGATGTAGAAGAAAGTCTTAAAACTTTCTTTGTTCTCTCAGGACACACAAGTCCTTTACTGGTCAGAATTGCTTATTGTCATAAGGATAAGAGTGAAAGATCACAAGAGTGCAATGAATAAGCTTTTCCACATAGTTGTCTCTCCCAACACAATAAAAACTGAATTTGAAGGGGGTTTTTATATACAACAGAGCAGGACTTGGGAATCTCTGGCCCTCCACATGTTGTTGGACTCCCATCAGCCCCAGCCAGCCTGGCCAAGAGTCAGAGATAATGGGAGTTGTAGTCCAACATCCTTTTAGAGTGCCACAGATTCCCCAGCAGTATAGGCTAAACTTGAAGTGTAGTGCAATTGATAGACAGTTAGGCATGGATATCAGAAACCAGGTTTTAATACCCATCAGCTTGAAAGTCACTGGGCAAGCAATAATATATCTCAGCCCAACCTATATCACAAGGTGGCTGTGGTGTTACAGGTATATTGCCTCTCTAAAATCTTTGCACCTTAAAACCCGTTTCCTCATTTGTGTATTAACTGTGAGATATATTCATGTTATACCTGGTTAATAAGGACAGAGTTACTTTTAATAAAAGGAAAAGCCTGGTGCCATCTGGCATTCGTTTCTACAGTTGCGTACAAATTAAAATAGTTGTCAGCTGACTGTTATTTGCTGTTCAGATTCCACCTGAAGAGTTGGTTTGCACAAGCTTTCCCTTCTTTCTTTTCTTATTTTGTGGTTAATGGGTTGAGAAACTGAGTGGAAGAAGGCAGAGGAGTGCTGGAAGGAGAGCATTGATATTTCTTTATGTATTCATGCTCTGTAGAAGTGTAATTTCTTTACAAAAAATGAACAACAAAGACAACAAATGCACAACCATTACTTTGGGTATGTCTTGAGTTCACAGATCATGGGACCAAGATGGCGGGCAAAGGCTATGTCACTCTAAGGCTTTGGAATTCCTTACAAATGTAAACAATTCTGCACTTAAAGTACTGATTCAGAATTACAAAGCTGAATGGACAATCATCAAATATCCCTGCTTCTGCAAAGAAACTCAACGGTGGTTCATTGGATTGGGACACAGTGACTTTTCCACACAGGACAGAGAGCTAATTTTAGAGCTGAAATCTTTGCATGGGTTAAATATGACACCATCAGGAGGCTTCACAAGAAGAGACCTCATTAAGCATGAACCTGCCCTGAAGACCTGCTTTTGTGATGCCTGAGAATATTTTCTCTGTCATAAGCAATGCAAGGCTGCTTAGAGAAATCCCAAATGTTATGGTATCCTGTGTCATTTAGATGAACAATTGCCTCATAATGGCTCTGTAAGGCAAGTTGTTCAAGGTTACATAGTAAATTTCACACCTGAGTAAGGATTGTGCACCTGAAACTTGTGGATCTTTCCTGTGCAACTTGTCTCTTAGATATTTCCCCAGCGGTGCAACAAAAGGAATCAAATGGACCTTACACACTCAGGTGGCTGGGGATGCAGCAAAGGATTCTCTCTCTCCCCTTTTCCCCCAGAATGACTTTCCAATACCAATCGAATAGCCATGGCGAGATATGATTAAATTAGCCCAGAGCAATCCCATTTTAGCAGGGACAGGGAGCCAGATTACCTGGCCTGTTTTAGTTCTTAAACTCTGTTTCAAACCAGGTGAGGTTTTGTGTTTGTTAAGAATGGTGGAATCATAGGCTTCTACACATGTCCAACAACTATTAATTCTGGCTACAAACCATTTGCAAATTTGCTCTTACTCAGGTCTTATTCAGCTGAACACTAAATAGGCCAGGGAAAATTTATTTCCTTGGCCTTTAAATATTGACGGTCTACCCTAATAGCCATCCTAGTCTGGATCCATTCCTAAAGGAATATTAGGAGTCTGGTTGGTATCAGAAAGAAGGTGTGAAAGGCCTGTGAATGTGTTGCCACCTTCATCCGTTTTGATTCACTTCTGGACTTGTAACAAAACTCGATTAAGGCAACCAGCATGGCTAGTCCAAGCCCACCGATGAGGATGTAGAAAACACCGGCTACGTTGCTGAGACTCAAAGCACTTGTTTTGTCCTACAAGAGAAAGGAAAAGGGAGAAGGGATGTGGGAGGGGAAAACATGCTGTTAGCACAACACTGTTCTTCATAACAACGACACAAAGTGCTACATATGAGACAATAAACCTGGGAAGCCACCACTTGTTTTAAAACACACAGAAGACATTACAACTTCCCTTCTTTGCATCTGAATATTCTTCCCCCACTGAACACACAAAGTTGATTAAACACTTCAGTGGCTTTGCAACTCTTTGGGAAAGGTGTGGACTAGATGTATTGAATCATCCTTAAATACTTATGTGCCCTCAAATGCCTAGGGACTTTCAATTATTGATATAAAAAATGTTATCTACTGTGAGCTGACATTTTGCTAGTCTCCAATCTTTTCCTCTCCTAAAATAACTCACTCTCTTGGAAATGCCTATTCCTTTTCTTCTTTGATTGTTTCCCCCGCAACTTCTGTTGCTGAGCAACAAATCAAAATCACTTGCTTTATTCTCCTCTGACATGGCCCTCCCCCTTTGTGCAATATCCAGGTTGCAGTGACACTGAAAAGGTGCTCGCCGTAGACATGCATTTGATTTCTATTCAAAAAAGCAGTTATTATGTGCCTATGTTCAGTTGATGCATTAAAAAAAATTATTGAAAAAATTAGTCACCTATTGATCATCTTTAGTGTTTGATGTTGATTGCAAACTTATTTTAAAAACACCCAGTAATTAATCTGCCCCTGTTAAATATATAGGTATAATTCTTCCCTATTTTACAAAGGTAGAAGCTGATCTGTAATACCAGTATTAGCATTAGCAGCACAGCAAACACTGGTGTCTAATGGGAGGACTATTCTATACATCTGATTCAGTCTGAGTATTAGTTAGTTAGCTAGTTTCACACCTAGTTAACAATATGCAGACCACAGATATCAGATGGTTGCTGGGATTTACCTGAGGTAAATAGTGCTTGAATAGGCTGTACAAGTCAGAGGTACATTTCTACAAGGGATTATTGAGTCATAAAAGTTTAACATAGAACAGTGTTGTTTATGTGTGTAATTCAGTCAGTTCCTGAATTTTCAGCAATATGGTTCCAAGACCATATTACACCTTTCAAATAAAAAAGGGACTTTGTCATGGCTGTCATAAATATCAGGTTCATGTCATTAATGCAGCCGGCAAATGTAAATCTAAGATAAAACCAGACAAATATTATAAAGTTTGATAAAAGTCGACACACATCCTCTGCGCTGAAACCAAATGATTCAGAATATAGCAAATATGTGTCGAAATGTCCGCCATATTCTAAAATGTTTGTCTGCTTTCATTAACTGATAGTGGTCTTGACAAGTAGGAATATATGTATATTTAAAATGTTTAATCTTGCTCCTCTTTTCCAGTTCAGCAGCTGGGATGCTTGCCTTACTTTTACTTGCTCACCTACTCAGTTCTCTCTCAATAAAACACAGCTAGTTCAAAGGGTTCAAAGTGTATGTTTCAAATGCTAAAGCCTATGGATTGAATCACAAATCTGTGATCTTTAGAGACAGCCAATTCTTCTTTTGCAGGGGATACTGGAAACATATGCTGTGCTTTCTGAGACTCAACGGATAAAAGCTTGGCAACTTTATGATGCAACTTTTCGTGGTTCTTTCAAAAGGAAGGTGGAAATGCAACACCCTTGTCAGATTCGTGTTTTATTTATCATTTTCGATTTTGGTGTGAGTTTTTAGTATAATCAGTTATAATGTATTCATCTATAGGCAGTCAAACTTCTAGTTCCCTCACACAGCCTCTTTGTAGCTTCATAATAACCCCAAAGCTATATGACCTATAAATTCAAATTATAGTGTTGCTTTCTGACAATGGAGCTTACCATGCAGATACCTTTGGCATGGAGTATTTGTTCTCCCCTCTCTTCTTTATGCACTGAAATGTGAATGCTAGTAGACTGCGCTCCTTTATTATATTGGCTTACTCTGTCCTTCAGAACCCTAAAATTCTGAGATGGAAATAAGAATCTCTGCTCCAGAAATGAGCTCAATGCACACTCAACTCTTCTCTAGCCTTTCCCATGCCGATGAACCATTAATCCAGATTCATCTTTCATGCATTTTCTAGTTGTAAACATTCCAGCCTTTTTCGAATTATCTATTTTATCACGATTCTGGTGCTCAAAAACCCATCACACTAGTTGCCCATCTGCAGAAAGAGGACATTTGACAGCCGGTCTCCACTTTGAAGAACTGATCATGTTCTTTTCACATTTAGAAGCATAAATATTAGCTCATGCTTTTTGTTTGTCCCTCCCCCTTCCTCTCACTCACACAAAATGGGGATATCGAGTGAGAGATGTATGTTCAGGGTGTGCTGTGTGTGCAAGTTGGAGTTCAAATTTCCTTCTTTCAGATTTCCAAAGATCTCCTGATAGAAGCTTATTCACACATCAGTGCCTTGATTCTTAATGAGCTGCCAATGGGGGCATGTAATTGTAATGGAAATACACCCAAGCTTGAATTACCACACAAGTACAATCAACAGCAGTGCCATTTATACATCTGCTCAATGTCTATAGGCTGCATTGCACAACTGGGACTCAGAGCCGTTTTCCTAATTTTCCTTCTTGCTACCACAGTCGAGACAGGCCAGGGTGTGTGGAATGGCATGAAAAATATGGGTTATGAGGCCGAATGAAGCTTGGCTGGAGAGAGGGAGAGAGAGGGAGTGTGTGCACTTGTCAAAAATCCAGTTGTCACAATGTAGATTTAGGCTTGAAACTGCTCCACAGGCATCTTGCCACTTCTTGGCTCTCAGGTTTTCTTTGCTAGAAGGATGGCGTTTCTAATTGCAAAGAGGTTCTCTGGAGAGTGACTATTGTCTTGCAATCACATAGTTCCTTCCCAGCTGGATGTTGGCACCAGGGTCATTGCCACACACCGCAAAGGCAAGAAAACAATTCCAGCTTGCCATGGCTTGCCTTGGCTTCTTGGCTCCAAAAGACCCTGCCTGCTGCTTTTTCTTACAGTCTCCTGACTTAATAGCACTAGTAATAATAGAACATGAAGAGAATGGGGGGGGGGGAGGGAAAGGCACCAATCCCTGCACTAACTGCCTGAGAGAATCAAACTCTTTCCCTCAGTTGCAGAGCCTTGCTGTTTGGGCTTTGTGACAGATGCTCTCCCAAGGAGTTTGCCCATCATGCAGCCGGCTTATTAGTGGGAGTGTAAATGTCACAGCGTGTCTCCTGCAGAGGGAGAGTTACATTTGAGGGAAGAGAAGGAGGGAAGAGGAAGATTGGCAGGTGAAAAGCAAGCAAAAAAGCCCATCTTTCAGAAATGTTCCTGGCCTCGTTGCCATGGTGACAAGGCACCTTCCCGGTCTGCTTCTTTTTAACTGGTGGCAGTTTATCCCTCATCCCGTTTCTTGCCATTTTATTCTGCTCTGACAGGAAGAAAAGAAAACTCTTTAAGGACCAAGTTCCCTGACTCCCTTCTCACCTTAAGGGGATTGACAGAAAGCACCTTTGCACCACTTAGAAGGAGGTAGAGGAGTTTGATGTTGGTCTCTGGAGCACAAATGAGTATGTCAGGCCAATATAAAGCATCCTGCATCCACCTCAAGAGCAATGCCATTTGACATGGTCATTTAGGGACTTCATATTTGTAATTTACAGAGGTGCCTTGCAACTTTTGTTTCGTGAACAGCCAATTCTCTTTTCTAATGTGGGAATATATTCCTCAGAACTCCAGATTCTGGAAATTCAGTCTTATACAACATGTGTATGCAACTGCACAAGATATATAAGGGAAGTAAAACATGTGACAGTGCAACACTATACTTGTCTGCTCAGAAGTATGCCCCATTTTACAGGACTTATTCTCAGATAAAGTGTGTTTAGGATTGCAGTCTTAGCTGCTGAAGTGTGAGGTGCTTATTAGTATTCATGAATGGTGTGAAAGAAAAGAAAACTGAGAAATTTAGAAAGCAGTAACAACGAAAACTAGATTTTATTTATTTATTTATTTATTTAATTTAAGGAAACTTCCTGGTATGCAGAGAACTATGTAATATTTAACATTATGGTAATATTAATCTTTACCCTGTAAAATAAACAAACGAGTCTTACAGCTCAAAGTAAGGGACCTTCAGCTCAGAGAAAATCCATCCATGGCCATGTAAGAACTTGTGGGCTAGTATAGTTCATTTGTTAGGCCTCTGGCACTTCTGAAGCCCAGTCCTTTGAAAGGCAAACCACTGACTGTGACATAAAGCCTTTTAAAGCTCTATTCTGGGAAGATTTTCCCTCATTTCCCAATAGCTATGAAGTCAGTGTTGTGTTCAGAAGGACATGACCTGGCAAAGACTTGTGTTTGTAATTACATGTTTTTAACTTCCAGTTTATGCTTGAGGTTCTGGCAGGTTATTGTGCAAAGGGAATGCTTCGTCTGAGGGGCAACACTGTGGAAAGTTTATGCATAATACTGAAACTAGGAACTTAAGCTGGACTTTAATGGGACTACGGCTGCATGCTTACTTGGGAGTAGGCCTCACTGAAGACAATTAAAAAATATATAAAATTCTGCATGTTCATCTTCATCCCTAATCTTTGGACTTGATTAAGAGTCTGTGGTTGGAGTCTGTGGTCCTTGATGTAGTCCCTTATACTTAAATCAAGGGAACAGAAATGTAGATCTTGCCACTCACTCTGTTATTATTAGACAAAGCTACGTGACAGATATATTTATTAACAGTCTGTTTTGCTTATATAATTTAAGTTGGAGAAAAGCATTTCCTTCTATTCTGAGCTTCTAGTTAATGCACATGTTACTTTAAACCACACGAGGACACTGTTTGTCTAGTAAACTTGTTTGTGGCATCTTTGTCTGTTAACTCCCACCCCTGAAAACTGAGCCATTTCTCCCAACTTGTTGAGACAAGATGTCTGCTATTCTCTCTCTCTCTCTCCAACCAAGATAAATCTGCTCCTGCATGAATAAAGCCTTTGAACTCCAGAAATTGTAAG